GGATTGAGGTGTAGTTATCTCCCCTGGGGGTGATATCTCGCTTGCCCTCTCTCTGCATCTCTCTGTCTCTCTGCAGCAAGTGCACGCACCCTATGGCAAAAATCTTAAAAAAAAGAAAAAAAGAAAGAAAAGAAAATAACAAGTGTTGGCAAGAATGCGGAGCAATCAGAGCTCTTGTTCACTATTGATAAAAATGTAAAAATGGGACCGTCGCTATGGAAACAGGGAGCTTCCTCTAAATAGTAAACGTAAGATCAGTGTCTTACCCACCCCCGCCCAAGACTGTGCTTCACTGGAGAGGGTGTGACGCAGCTCACTGCAGGACCGAGCTGTTCACCAAAGTGCCACAGGTCACTGAAATTTGTTCAGGGGGTGAGAGTCACTGATGTCACTGCAGGCCTGGACCCTGTGCATCACACGCTCTCCCAGAGGAGCCCCCAAACCAGGAAGACAAACCCCGTCTTCATTCAGCGTTCCTCTAGCGCCCTCTGCTGACAGAGACCGGCATTGAGCTGGCAAAGGAGAAACGTTAAATGAGTCCAACTCCAGGGTCACCAACCCGCAAAGAGTGAGTTGGAGCAGAGGCTGGCCACTGGTAGCTGGCGCGGGTGCTTGTCAGATGCCATTCCAGCAGGACAGTCACATGTCATTGAGCTTCACTCTTATTTCACATCTGACCCGCCCGGGGCCTCCTGAAATCTGAATCTGTGAGCCGATGGGCTCGCTCCCTGCTGTATGATGTCCTGGGGCTCCCCACAGCGATGAAGGGGTTACCTTCATTTACATCTCGGCAGGGGGACCAGCAGTTGGCATAATGGCTATGTCGCTGGACTCCCATGTAGCCAACCGCGGTTCAAGTCCCGGACCCGGTGGCTTAAACTCACACCGGGCGCGTGTGCATGCGTGCCCAAGATCCCGAGAGGAGAATGGAGGAGCGGGGATTGTGGCATGGCTATCACCCCTGGGGGGGTGATTTCTCGCTTTCTGTCTCTCTCTCTCTCTCTGTCTGTCTGGCAAGCACACGCACCCTATAGCAAAAACCTCTAAAAAAAAAAATGAAGTAAAAAATAATAAATAAATAAAACCAAATAAAATAATTATTTTATAAAAAGAAAGAAATAGCTGGACTTCCTCTTTTTTAAAATATTTATTTGGGACCAGCAGTTAGCATAATGGCTATGTCGCTGAACTCCCATGTAGCCGGCAGCAGTTCAAGTCCAGGACCCGGTGGCTTAAACTCACTCCAGGAGCATATACATGCATGCCCAAGATCCTGAGAGGAGAATAGAGAAGGGATTGCAGCGTGGCCATCCCCCCCGGGGGGGTTGATTTCTCGCTTTCTATCTCTCTGTCTCTCTCTGTCTTTCTGGAGAGCGCATGCGCCCTATAGCAAAATCCTCTTCCCCCCAAAAAAATGTATTTATTCATTTAACTCCATTTGTTAAGGGAAAGTGAGGAAGCAAGCTGTCAGGTTTGGGACTCGAACCATGATCAGCCATGTGGGAGTCTAGCGCTCTTAACCACTATGCCACCTGCTGGCTGAATTCTCTATAAAAGTTAGTCCTGACCTGTTCCCAGCAGAAAGATGAAGGATTGGTGGGCGGATAGCCAGTCTCTGCCATGGGCCCCGAGTGAGCACCCTCATTTCTTTGAGGCTCAGTTTTCTGCTCTGAAAATGAAGCTACTCAATCTGCCATCTGCTCTGCCACGAGGACCCGGTGCGATAAATTAGGAAGCAAGTTTCTCGATAAACAGTCAGCACTGACCTGATCGCATCCCCTCCTCCAGCCCACCTCTGCCCGGTTAACCTGCCCCACTTCTCCCCACAGGCACCAACTGGATGATCGAGATCCTCTGCTTAATCCTGAAGGACGGGGACCCCTCCTGGATCCGCTCAGTGCCCATCTGGGAGCGGGCGCCCTGGTGCGAGACCATCATGGGCGCCTTCAGCCTCCCGGACCAGCCCCGGCCCCGCCTCATGAGCTCTCACCTCCCCATCCAACTGTTCACCAAGGCCTTCTTCACCTCCAAGGCTAAGGTCTGGGAAGTGAGGTGGGGGCAGGGCACGCAAAGAGCTGATGAATTCAGCCGCTATTTCCTGAGCACCTGCTCAGTGCCTGGTCCCAGTGCCTGGTCCCGATCTAGCACTGCAGACATAAGAGACGTTTCAAAAAGTTCAGGGGAGATGGAATTCAAATCCGAGTTTATGTTGGAGGGAAAAAAAAAAAATGAAATCCATGCATAGTTTTTCCATAATACAATTCTCTATAAACTTCTTGTTTTTTTTTTAGGTTTTGGCCATAGGGTGTGTGCGCTCCCTGGAGAGAGAGAGAGAAAGATGACGAGAGGGAAAGTAAGAAATCACCCCCAGGAGGTATGGCCATGCTGCAATCCCTTCTCCATTCTCTTCTTGGGATTTGGGGCATGCACGCACACACCCAGTGTGATAATTATTTTTGTAAGAATTATTTAATTTAACTACTTATTTATTTAAATTTGACCAGAGAGGGACAGGGTGAGAGAGAGAAAGTGAGAAAGCAAGTCCAGGTCTGGGACTTTAATCATGGTCGGTCTCGTGGGAGTCCGGAGCCCTTTACCACGCCACCTGCCGGCCTCCCAGACTGATTTTTAAGCCTGGTCCAGAGCTCGAACCATAGTCGGGCCACGTGGGAATCTAGCACCATAACCACCAAGCCATCCGCCGGCCCCTTCCAGGAACTTTGACGACCCTCGTATGTACACAGAAATGCCTGCCCCTGGGACCAGCAGTTAGCATAATGGCTATGTCGCTGGACTCCCACGTAGTCGACCGCAGTTCACGTCCCGGACCCGGTGGCTTAAAACTCACACCGGACGCGTGTGCGTGTGTGCCCAAGATCCCGAGAGGAGACTGGAGGAGAAGGGATTGCGGCGTGGCCATCCCTGGGGCGGGGGGGATTTCTTGCTCTGGCTCTCTGTCTGTCTCTGTCTGTCTGGCGAGTGCACGCCCTATAGCAAAAACCTCTCCAAAAAAAAGAAAGAAATGCCTGCCCCTGTGAGCCAGCAGTCTAAAGGTGGACAGACAGATGATAAGTGGAATCAGTAAGAAAACGTGTTTAGTGTGTCGGATGGAACACGCATACATCGGGAAGGAGGGTCGGGGGTGAGGGCTGCAGCATGTCTGACAGCGGGAAGAGCAGGCAGGAAGGCCCTGGGCACCCGGAAGTCGGTGACTAAAGCCAGTGAGCAAGAGGGAGTAGGAGTGAAGCGAAGTGGGGGAACGGAACCAGAGCCCAAGTGCAGGGTGGGCCGCAGGAGGCCCGCGGACTCTGCGGGGAGGGCCCTGAGCTGGCCGAGGGCTCGCCCACGCCCTCTGGCGGCCGGGGAGGACAGCGTCAGGGAGGCCCGTGAGAGGTGGCGAGGGTGGCTAGGCAGGGGTGCCATGTGGGTGGAGGGCAGGGACTAGGCCTGGGTGCAGACGGTAGGTGGAACCAGGAGGATTAGCTGAGGGGCTGGATTTGGGTGCGAAATAAAGAGACGAGTCAGGGGTGACCCTGAGGTTTTGGCGCTAGTGGCTGTCAGGGCGGGGCTGCCATCACTGAGACAGGGAGACAGTGCAGAGCCCTGGGGCGCTGGGGCCACCACGTCCGGGGGTGGTGGCCAGTCAGCACTGAGACTGGTCTGGATTTGTGGCTGATGCAGCTATGTGCAACCCCCTGGTACACAAGGAGACCTCGAAGGTTCATGGGAAGATAGAATTATCCCCCAGCTGAGGTGGTTTGAATCCTGGTCTAGCGGCTTGACAGATGTGGGTCATGGGTGTGTGCCCAGAATCCCAAGAGGAGAGAGAAATGGAGAAGGGATTGTGTCATGACCTTGTCCCATGGTGGTGGTGGTGGGGGGGTGCTCTCTCCCTCTCTCTGTCTCTCTGTCTCTGCAGAGCACATGTGCCCTCTGGCCAAAAAAAAAAAAAAAAAGGAAAAATTACCAGGTTCCTCTAGTGCAAAACATTTGGAGTTCAGTGTTTTCATAATACACGTTCTCCAGAAACTCTTCGGAGACCCCGCGTGTATCCTGTCGTTAAGTGAAGCCAGGGGTCACGTGGGCGTGGGCAGCAGAGGGGAGCCTGCGCCCGAAGGTCCCCAGGCCCACACGTGAGGATGCGCCGGAGGGCCCCAGAGCTCCGCAAAGCTGAAGTCCTCACAGTCAGTTCATGACAGTGGAGGGACATGGGGACATCAGCTCAGGGCAGAGGGCCCCGGGCAGGGTCCAGGAGAGCCGGGAGGAGCTCCCAGCTGTCCTCTCCCAGGGGTGTCCCATGGACAGAGCTTGATTCGCTCAGCAGTGACGTGAGACGCCGCGGAGCGCTGGAGTGCCACCAGCCGGGCAGCCCAGCCAGGCCGTGGTGCTGGAAAGGCGGGGCCAGCTTCTCTTCTCGCTCGGTCCACGCCTTTGTCCCCATCGCTCCCGTCCTGGATCCCACGCCTTTATTTATTTTTTTGGTCAGAGGCTGTGCACCTACTGGAGAAAGATGGGGTAGAAGGGAGTGAGAAATCACCCCTCCAGGGGATGGTCATGCTGTAGCCCCTTCTCCTCCACTTCTTCCTCCTTTGGGGATTTGGGGAATGCAAGCCACCAGGTCTGGAACTTGAACTAGGCAGTCACCCAGGTGGAACCCAGCAACTTAACCACCATGACACCAGCTGGCCCCCTGCTCCACTCAGTTCCCTGAAGCCAAACTGTCCCTCCACTTGGCACCAGAGTAGCGTCCCTTCTAGAACCTGGTCCCCAGGAGAAGGCGGGCTGAGCTGAGCTGCCGTTAGCCGGGAAGTCCCCCAGACGTCTGCCCTGCGTCTTTCCTGCTGCACCGTGAGAGGGGCTGGAGGACAGGTGGGCTCAGGCTGGGGCCCATCTGTCTGACAGCCCTCCTCTCCCCGACGCCCGCGGCAGGCAATCTACCTGGGCCGGAACCCTCGGGACGTGGTGGTCTCCCTCTATCATTACTCCAAGATCGCCGGGCAGCTGAAGGACCCCGGCACGCCCGACCAGTTCCTGCAGGACTTCCTCAAAGGCGAAGGTGAGGACGGGGCGGGGCGGGGGAAGGATGGGCACAGCCCTGGGAGGAAGGGAGAGGACCCAGACAGAAAGAAGGACAGAGGAGGGGCGGGGGCAGGCCGCCGTGCAGGGATGAAGCATGGCGCTCTGCGAGGCTGGCACACTTGCCAAAGTTCCAGGGTCACGTCTTATTTCTTTTTTAAAATAATTTTTTAAATTTTTTATTCATGGTTATTATTTCGTTTTTATTATTTTGAAGTTGATCAGAGAGAGACAGAGACAGAGAAGGAACGTGAGAAAGCAAGCTGCCGGGTCTGGGACTCAAACCACGGTCAGCCATGTGGGAGTCCAGCCACCCTAACCACACGCCACCTGCCAGCTCCCCGTGTTCACTTCTAAGGGCCTCTCTGAGTACTCTGGGCCCTGTGCCCATGATCGGGACCAACTAAGGCTGGGCGTGGATTGTGGCACAGAAACACCGGCAGAGGCGACTCAGGGCTCAGCTGTCTCTGTCTCTGTCTGTCTCTATATCTCTCACTCATGGAGAAAAGAAAGAAAGGGAGAAAGAAAGAGAGAAAGAGAAATAATAAGAACAAATAAAAATTAATACAATCAAAAAACAGTTTGTGTTTATTATTATAAAAAAGAGTACAGAGACAGAGAAGAGACCAAGAGAGACAGAGACTGGGAGACGTGGAGGGATAGGTGGAGATCAGAAGGCTGGGAGAGAAACTGAAAGGCAATGAAAGATACCGAGACAGGAGAAGACAGGTCAAGAGACATAGAGTACACAAGAGATGGAGAAAAGGAAAGAGACGGAGAGAGACATATGAGAGAGTCTTCAAAAAGTTCATAAAAAATGTATATTATAAAGAAAACTATGTGTGGGGGCTGGCGGGTGGCGTGGTGGTTAGGACACTGGACTCCCACATGGCCGACCACGGTTTGAGTCCCGGACCTGGTGGCTTGCTTTCTCACTCTCTTTCGCTGGTTCCTCTCTGGTCATATTTAAATAAATAAGAATTTATTTAAAAAAAAAAAAAAAGAAAGAAAGAAAGAAAGAAAACTAGGTATGGATGTCAAACTTTTTTTTTTTTTGAGAGATTTTTCACTGTAGGGCGCGTGCGCTCGCCAGACAGACAGAGAGAGACAGAGAGACAGAAAGCGAGAAATCACCCCCAGGGGGGGATGGTCACGCCGCAATCCCTTCTCCTCCATTCTCCTCTCGGGATCTTGGGCACGCACGCACACGCGCCCGGCGTGAGTTCTAAGCCACCGGGTCCAGGACGCGAACCGCGGTCGACTACATGGGAGTTCAGCGACATAGCCATTATGCTAACTGCTGGTTCCTCATAATTTTTTTAAAAGAGTTACTTTATTTAACTTTATTTACTTATTTTAATTTGACCAGAGAGGTACAGAGAGAAAGTGAGAAAGCAGGCCACCATGTCTGGGACTCGAACCGCAGTCAGCCCTGTGGGAGTCCAGCGCCCTTTACCTCCACGCCACCTGCTGGCCCGACTCTCTTAAATGTTTACTAAAAAAAGGAGAGAGAGACTGCGAGAGGGATAAAAAGACAGGAATAAATGCAAGGAGAGACAGAGACAAAGCAGAGGCACGGGCTACCAGATGAGGCGGAGGCAGAGCCCCTAGGCCCCGCATCCCTTTCTCTGCTCCTGTCACAGACCCCAATTTTGGAGGGTGTGGGTGTGTGTGTTCGGGGGACCTGGCTGCGGGGGGCTGGATGGATGGACAGGAGGACATGGGCCGCCCAGGTGGGAAACGGGGCTCAGGTGGGAGAAGCCCTGAACTTGGCAGGGACTCAGGGGCTTGGGGGAGGGCGTCCGGCTCTGAGGGGCCGACCTGGGGTATGCACTGGGGACTACTGAGAGCCCTCACCCCAGAGCCCCTGCGGGTGGCCCTGCTCCGGCCCTCACCCCGCCTGCCCTCCGCCCGCAGTGCAGTTCGGCTCCTGGTTCGACCACATTAAGGGCTGGATTCGGATGCAGGGCAAAGAGAACTTCCTGTTTATCACCTACGAGGAGCTGCAGCAGGTGAGCCCCCTCGCCCGCACCCCAGCCCCCACTGCCTCCATTCCTGTGCCCAAGGCCTGCCCTGCCTCCCAGGGCCCCGGGCACCAGGTACTGCGGAGAGCCGAGAGTGGGAGACAACGCGGCCAGCAGGTGAGACACAGGCGTCAGCTGGCCAGAGAGCCAAGCAGAAAACCGAGCCGGGAAGTAGGATGAGAACGGGTGTGGGGGGACCAGCAGACGGCATAGTGGCTATGTCACTGGACTGGACTCCCATGTAGACTGCGGTTCAAGTCCCAGACCCAGCAACTTAAAAACTCATGCCAGGCGTGTGTGCGTGCATGCCCAAGATCCCGAGAGGAGAATGGAGAAGGGATTGCGGCGTGGGCATCCCTCAGGAGTTGATTTCTCGCTTTCTGTCTCTCTGTCTCTCTCTGTCTCTCCAGATAGTGCACGCGCCCAATAGCAAAAATCTCTCAAAAAAAAAAAAAAAAAGGAATAGGCATTGGGGGGCCGGCAGATGGTGTAGCAGTTACATCATTGTACTCTCGCGTGGCCAATTGCAGTTCAAGTTCTGGGTCCAGTGGCTTGAAAATCACTCTAGGTGCGTGTGTGTGAGTGCCCAAGATCCAGGAAGAGAACGGAGGAAAAGGGATTGCAGTGTGGCCACCCCCCCTGGGGGATGATTTCTCACTTTCCCTCTCACTGTCTCTGTCTCTCTCCCTAGTGAGCACATGCACCCTAAGGCAAAAACGTCTTTTGTTTTTTAAAGAATTATTTTACTCAACTTTATTTATTTATTTATTTATTTATTTATTTTTATTTTACCAGAGAGAAACAGAGTGGGAGAGAGAGGAAAAATGAGAAAGCAAACAGCCAGGTCTGGGACTCAAACCATTGTCAGCCATGTGGGAGTCCAGCGCCCTTAACCACCACACCACCTGCCGACTCCAGGCAAAAACTTCTTTGAAAAAAAAAAAGAATCAGGTGTAGGATCAACAGGTGGCATAGTAGTTAAGGTGCTGGACTCCCACATGGCTGACTGGCTGGAGTCCCAGACCTGGCACCTTGAAGCTCACCCTGGGCACATGTGAGTGTGTGCTGAATATCCCAAGAGGAGAAGGGAGAAAAGGGGAGTGTGGCATGGGCATTCTCACTGGGCGGGGAGTGATTTCTCACTTTCCCTCTCTCTGTTTCTGTCTCTCTGTCTCTTTCTCCAACAAGCTCAGGCACCTATGGGGGAAAGAAAAAAAAACAGGTGTGGATGTGATTTAAAATAGGGTGGTCGGGAACCAGCAGTTAGCGTAATGGCTATGTCGCTGGACTCCCACGTAGTCGACCGCGGTTCGTGTCCCGGACCCGGTGGCTTAAAACTCACGCCGGGCGCGTGTGCGTGCGTGCCCAAGATCCCGAGAGGAGAATGGAG